TTATTCTGCTGCGACCGACACGGTGACAAGTATATTTACACTGATACATGGTTGAACACACACTAAACGCTAAAGGTATAATAAAATTGGACGTCGATTCAGATAACATTTAATACAGATAAACGCAATAATAATGATAATAATATAATACACGCGTCACCAGTTACTTTTTTTTTAGAAAAATTCTAGCTTTCATACTGCTTTCTTTGGAGCTATGAGGTTTATTTGTCAACTGTCGTTTTTGTATTATTTTATATAATATATTTATATATTGTATAATCAAGTAATTATATTCTAATAAATAATATTTAGTATAGTTGTGGACCATTTACGTTAACAAATACATACCTAACAATTATTTTATTGGATTTCATCATTGAGCAAAATAAAGCAAAATATACAAATATAAGTACCTACAGTAAATAACTTTATTACATACATTTATTTAAAATGTTTAAGACATTTATTGAATTATTATGTTATTTGTTAGCTTAAAAAAAGGTAGACAGGTATAATTATTAATTTTATACTAAAAAAAGTAACTTATTTTTAACTAAGATAAGTTACTTTTATTTTCTAATTAACTTGTAACTTTTGCAAGTTAAAAAAAAATAGAGGTAACTTTTAACTTTAAACTTAACTTACTTTTTTCTATATTAACTTAACATAACGAGTTWAAAAAAATAGTTAACTTGCCCAGCCTTGACAATTACTATTTGCAATAAATCACTTTTACATAAAAATAAAAATATAAACATACCTCTGTTTTAATTGTGACGTTTGGTTGATAAATACTGTGTAAAAATTTTGCCATGGGTTCGTAAAAAATCCAATTAGGTTTAAACACATTATTTGCCGCAGAACCCGTTCTCATACTATCCTTCACTTTATGGGATAGTGGTCGAAATGATGCCATCAGTGAATCCTTTTTTTTTTGAGATCTTGGATTGAACAGTTTACACTTAGTTGATCTTTTACCCTGTTCCAAGCATCACTAACAGCGTTCCTATTTTTGTGTAAAGGATCTTTAGGATTCCATATTAATCCTTCTTTTTCATAAAGATTTAAAAATTCCATTGTATTTTCATTTGACCATTCCATTTTTAATAAAATACGCACCAAAAATACACTATGAATAACTAATGAGGTATACTGATGAAATAAATAATTAAAATATTAGTTTAATAAAGGCAATATACTCACCGCAAATGCGTACACTAAATGAATTGTACATTACCTACCAAGTTGCAGACCTCCAACAAACTAAACCAACTAAACTAGTACTGAGCTAGGACTACGAGTCGTGTGGGAAACTCCACGATTACCGAATTATCGATACGCGATTATTTATAATTCCTTTGACTCGTGTCACATTTACCGACAACCGATGGGAAACGCCGAGCGACTCGGTGATTAAAAATAATTGCCATACTTGACAATTAAACATCTCCTACGACCTACACGACTCGTAAAGCATCACGATTGACGATTATTCGCCGAGTATACGAGTCGTGTGGGACCGGCTTTATAGTAGTAGCCTATAAAGTGTACATATTTGTCGTACCTAATTAAAGCAGCATATTTTGGTAAGTAGGTATATTATGAATATCAGTATGTACTGCTACGTATGCAGTAATTAATATTACTGTTGATACTTAAGGTACATTCTATGAGCAATCAATAAATATTAAATTGTACACATTAGTGGTAATTAAATAGCTACTGAGTTACACCAATAACAGCATATTTTGATAATTATATTAACGCTTTG